ACCAGACTAACATGAAAATCCCAAGAGCTGGTGAAATTTTATCATTTTTAGCTTAATTTTGTGTTTTTTTGGCTTGTTTTTAGCGAAATTTTGTAAAATAATTGTGTTTTTAGTGGAAAAATCATTCGAAAAAAACAAAAATAAGTTGTCAATTTTCGACTCTGTTTAGTAATATCTTGTAAAAAACAAATAGAACCATTTTTAACAAATTTGGCGATTATTAGACTTTTTTTGCAAAAATTTGACGAAATAATTCAGTTTCTGGAAAATGCTTGAAAAACAGTGTTTTTCATTTCCAAAAAATCACTAGATATTAGAATTTTTCAAAAGTTTTCACCAAACTACCAGACTAACATGAAAATCCCCAGATCTGGTGAAATTTTATCATTTTTAGCTTAATTTTGTGTTTTTTTGGCTTGTTTTTAGCGAAATTTTGTAAAATAATTGTGTTTTTAGCTGAAAAAGCATTCGAAAAAAAACAAAAATAATTTGTCAATTTTCGACTTTTTTTAATAATAATTTGTAAAAAACAAATAGAACTATTTTTAACTAATTTGGTGGTTATTCGACTTTTTTGAAAAAATTTGACGAAATAATCCAGTTTCTGGTTGAAAACGTGGAAAATGCTTGAAAAACGTGTTTTTCATTTCCAAAAAATCACCAGATATTAGAATTTTTACAAAAGCTTTCACCAAACCACCAGACTAACATGAAAATCCCCAGATCTGGTGAAATTTTATCATTTTTGGCTTAATTTTGTGTTTTTTGGCTTGTTTTTAACAAAATTTTGCGAAATAATTGTTTTTCTAGCTGAAAAACGTGCTTAAAAACATATTTTTGTCTTATTTTGCTCAAAAATCGAGTGAAACAAACAAAATAACATCAATATTAATTGTTTTTGTGATTTTTAAGCGTTGTTCAAAAACGAAGTAAGTCGAGTAAAACAAGCTAAAAATAATATCAATTTCGATTTAATTTTGTAATTTTGCCTGCTTCAACGAAATTTTTAGAATTCTCTTTGCTTATGTCTCAAAAACGTGCTTAAACACTTGAAAAGGGCAAAAATAACGCTGTTTTTGGTTGAATTTTTGGCTTATTTTTAGCGAAATAATTGTTTCTAGCCGAAAAAGCATTCGAAAAAAACAAAAATAAGTTGTCAATTTTCGACTCTGTTTTAATCAATTTTTTTCGCCTTTTTTGAAAAAAATTGACGAAATGATCCAGTTTCTGGTTGAAAACGTGGAAAATGTTTGAAAAACAGTGTTTTTCAGTTCCAAAAAATCACCAGATATTAGAATTTTTACAAAAGTTTTCACCAAATCACCAGACTAACACGAAAATAACCAGATCTGGTGAAATTTCACCACACCTGGCAACACTGCCTACAATCAGTAGTACCAACTGTGCTACCAACCTTGTAGCGGTGCTCCAGTCTTGCCATCCCCCTCATTTCTGCCAAATGATACGTAATATTTTGCCCAAACTTCATCACATATTTCAACATCAACTTCTGGATATTCGAGTAGCTCATCTCAATCGTTTGTCCGAACTTTTCGAGCCCTTTCTTCGTCAAATCATGTATCAAAAACGCTTTCATCTCATCCGAACAAATCCCAAAAGTCAACAAATCCAAAAAGTCAGCTGTGACGCCCCCTTCGGGCACTTTACTCGCATATTTCGACAACTTATTGTCCATTTCAAGTAAAATGCTCTCCCAAGACTCGGTTATAGTGGTGATAGTGTTGGATAGATAAGTGATAAGCGATGTTAGTTTTATATGTTTGAGGGCTAGAGCGAAAAGTTCGTTTGTGTGCGTTTTGAAAATGTCCGAATCGAAACAAATTAATTTAACGTTGTGCTCGGCGTCCTTGACTGTGAAACACATGCGATTTAGGTCTTCATTCAAATGCATGTTTTGTATTGAACAAAAACAGTTGAGATTTTTTTTCAAATCAAGAGTTGCGCAAGGAAAACAACCAAAAATTCGGACATGGACGATGCCCTCACTTGTCCCAATTAGGAGTAAATTGAAGTCAGTTTGCTCCTGCAAAATGTTGGTTTTTTGGCCCTCTTCATTGTTGGGGGCGTCAAACTGTTGTACCACAGGTTCTGGCAAGAAATTGCTTGATAAATCCTAGAATTTGGTTATAAAACAACTCCAAATACTCCATTTCACTTACAATATATTTCATGTATTGATTTTGTTTACTTTCTTCGGTGACTGAAGGTATTTTTCCTTTAACAGTCCTGTCTTGCAACCAGTTGAGACATGAAACTTCACCTTTGATACCAATTGTGTGCAACACTGACTTATTTTCCACTTTGACTAACATTATTTGCCCTTAAATCAAACAATAAGATTGTAATTGTCTCAAATGAGATTTACCAGAACTATAAGCAATTGCTATTATTTTGCCATCAGGCCTCCAAGCAATACTTTTGACTTTTAACCCATCCTTGGGAGCACTAAGGCTCCACGCTTTGGTCCAGGTGAGTCGATGCAGAGTCACTTCTCCTACAAAACACACTCAAATGCCGGTTTTTGAAAAAGGGGGTTACCTTTAATGTTGGCAAGCGCGACAAGATCCATACGGTCGCTCCACACCATTAAAACAATCTCACTGGCCACATTGCGTTCCTCTAGTTGTTTTATCACCTGAATTGTGCTCATTTTCTTCAAGAAAATTTATTTTGAATTGTGAGGTTAGATTCAATTAACATGGGTGCCAATCTAGTGACGTTTTACGATCAAATTTATTTACGGAAGTGTGAATAACTGGGCAAAATTGCCACTCGCGATGGATTTTCAAAGCCAAATAATTAAATAAATGAGTAATTAAGTTGGTTTTAGCTAAAAATGTGTAATAATTTTGGGGTTTCATAAATGGTGAAGGGTTGGCAGCACTGGAGTTTTGTGTTCTCAAGTGTCTTGATCAATTCGTTCCAAATTTTAATTAAAACCATCACTATGGATAATTTAGAAGCAAATATTATGGACAAGTCAATGCGTTCGGTTTTTGGTAATTGTTTACGTTTTTTTGTGATAAAAACATTTAATCTTCTTTTCCAGTGGGCAACATCCCCTACGAGGCCACGGAAGAGAAGCTCAAAGACATTTTCGGCGAAGTAGGCCAAGTCCTGTCATTCAAGTAAGTTTCACCACCATTGGGCCCCCTTTTTTCACTCAATTTTAGGTTAGTTTTCGATCGCGAGACAGGCAAACCCAAAGGCTATGGCTTTTGTGAGTACCGCGACCAGGAGACCGCCCTCAGTGCCATGCGTAACCTCAACGGGTACGAAATCGGGGGGCGCAACCTCCGCGTCGACAACGCCTGTACCGAGAAATCCCGTATGGAAATGCAAAACTTGCTAAACCAGCCCCCAGTCGAGAACCCTTACGGCGAACCGATTCAAGCTGAGAAAGCCCCCGAGGCTATTAGCAAGGCCGTTGCGTCTTTGCCCCCGGAGCAAATGTTCGAGTTGATGAAGCAGATGAAGTTGTGCATTCAGAATAACCCCACTGAGGCCAGGCAAATGTTGCTCCAGAACCCCCAGTTGGCGTATGCCCTGCTCCAGGCCCAGGTTGTGATGAGGATTATTGATCCCCAGACTGCGGCCGTAAGTTCAGGGGGCGTTTGGGAGCGTTGATTTTTATTTTGGGGTTTTCTAGACCATGTTGCATCCTCAAAATCCAGTTCCTTCGACTTTGACGCCGAAGGAAAAGACCAATCCAGGGCCGGTGTCGATTAATAGTAATTATACGGGGAATCCCACGCCTGTGCAGCCCCCCAGGCCGGAATTTCAGCCAGTACCGGCCCCTGCACTTCATAATAATTCAAATCCAGTCTTCACCGGTAAAATATTGGTGTTTTTTTTTTACAAAAAATTCAACTTTATACTTGTTTTATTTTATGGTGGCAACCATGCGAAAATTCAAACAATTCTAACCTCAATCATCTCTAAAAATTATTTTTTCAAATAAATGTGTCAAAAATAATTCAAATTAACAGCGTAATTAATTTGTCATTACTGATGTGATTATACTCTTTTTCATATAAAATAAATCTTTAAGTTAAAGGCCTATTTGCACAAAATGTGTCATTAATGTCATTCAGCACAAATTTAATCACATCAATAATGACAAAACTCTTTAAGTGTGCTAATTACGTTGTTAATTTTAATTATTTTTTGCTACATGAGGTACATACTTATTTGAAAAAATAATTTTTAGGAAAGATTGAGGTTAGGATTGTTTGAATTTTCGCATGTTTGCCACCTTTCAACGACTACTTCGATGCACATTAATATAAAAACGAGTATTATTAAATTTTTATTAATTGTTATAAAGTCATATTTTCACTTTTACTAAAGTTTAATTAACGATTTCTAAAGTCTACGATTTGAGAATGGGTTTATGATCCCATATTGCGAATACTTTGAGTTTTATTCTAAAGTCTTGGCTATCTATTATTTATCTCAAGAGCATATTTCAGAAAAAAAATTCTTAAAATTCAAGTTATTTGTGGATCTTGAAGATCTTTAAGGTTTTAGGTTGTTATTTTTATTAGAATTTTTTTTTCTAACTAATTTTTTTTCTTAGAATCTTAAAAATTTATTAATTTATTGAATTTTGAGTTCTTAATTTTTTTCTGTAAACACGGAACTTATTCCTCAAGATCTCAAGTTTAAAATCTGTTGACATTCTCTCTCTATTTTCGTTTTTTTTCAACATGTTTAATCTTGTATTTGAATATTTATTTTTAATTTTGTTTTTTAAGGTCTTAACATCGTTGAAAACTTTTTTTATACAATAAATTCATCAAATAAGAGATGATTTTTTGTATTTTTCTTTAGATCATCATTTTTTTCTTAAAGTTCAGTGTTTACACTAAAACCTCGATTTTACTTTTTTCAAAATGTCTCAAAATTTTGAGTTTTCATGATGACTTTAGGTTGTTTTTGTGTCATATTGCGAAGACTTTAAGTTTTATTCTTTGAGTTTAAAATCCAGATTTTGTATTTAAAAATCTTGAAAGTTTGTATTAGGATTTTTTTGACTAAAGTCTTGGCAATCTATTATAAGAGTATATTTCAGTAAAAAAA